CTCCTTCTCCTTCTCCTTCTCCTTCTTCCCCTTCTTGTTCTTCTCCTTCTTTCTCTCTTATTCTTCTTCTTCTCCGTTTTCTTCTCTTTTGCCTTTGTTTCCACCTTCATCTTAGCCTTCGTCTGAGCGGCGCATCTTCTCATCGCTCAGAAGTCAAACAGACCACGCGACACTCGACCAATCCCTGCGTTTCTCTCATCGTCAGAACTCCCTTGAACCGGTGTTGAGGCTACTCTCAGCTCGAGCCCTGAACTATTATGCACAGCCCACTCGACTCCTCTTCACAGGCTTTTCATGTGCACTTTGACACTTCATGATTGCATTAAATGTGTGAAAGGGAATCGCTTCAAAACCCGCGGCAACCGACAGAATGTTTGTCGCTCAATGCCACTTGGGCTTGAATCCCGGCGAGGCTGACTGGGCCTCGAGCCCAAGTGCCCGGGCCTACGGCGAATCACGGACTCACCGCGTCAAAACCTACTTGCTCCGTTGACCGTCGGTTTTCTCTGTCTCTGAGTCTCTCCGGATTGATTCACTCGTCTCATCTGACTACCGGTTGTTTGCTTGCTTGCTTATCTGTATGTACGTGTGTGTGTGTGTGTATGTGAGGAGAGACAGCCATGTCTTGTGTCTCGACTCGTTGTCAAGCCAAGGGGAGAGCGGAGGCCTGTCGTGAAGTGGAATCGACCCGAGTCGAGGATGAGGCGGACTTAGGCGAGGGACGCGACCAGACAGCGGCGAGCGCACTGCTCAAACAGGTGTGTGTAGTGTGTGATTGTGGTGTTTATGTGTGTGTGTGTGTGAGAGAGAGAGAGAGAGAGAGAGAAAGTAAAAAAGAGAAAGACAGATAGCAATATGGAATGGCAGACATTGGGTCGCTTTAGTCTGAGCCAATCAGCAGGTTCGGCGAGCCGAATCTGGCCGGTCGCCTCTTCTACCCTTTCGCCTGCGAGTGCAACAGCCTCGGCGGCCCGAGACAGAAGGAGGCAGAACGAGACGCCATACTCGTCGTGTGATTGGTGCAAAACGGTGTCTCGTTGAGCCAATCACCCGGCAGCGCTTGCTCACACATTGTCTCGCTGTCTGGCTGCCACGCTCAGTCGGCTCCACAGTCTTGTGTGTTGTCGCCTGTAAAGGCTAGTTTAGTCTTTTAATCCGCTTCAACCGCGTTCGGATCTACGGCCCAGTTGTCGTCAGGCCTCGGTGCTATCAATCGCGTGTTTTGAGGGTTAACAAAAAAATCAAATAAGAAGAGTGAAAAAGCAGACTGTATCATCTTCACTTGGAGCTTGTAGGCCAGTTTATGCCGCATGTGCCAACTGCCGCGACCGTCTCTCGGACCGGCCGAGCGGCCCGGCCTCGACGACGTCTGATCCGACCATCGTGTGGATGGACACACTGACACGAGAGCACACCGGCCGTCTGGCCGGTTTACGCGACTCTGAAGAGCGCATCTTCACCAATTCTACCGTCTCCACCGTCTCCGCCGTGTCCGCCGTGTCCGCCGTGTCGCCGCCCACCCCACGAGCGCCGGCTCCGAGCAAACGTCGTCACAGCGGCGGGGTCGGCCGGTCGCTGCACCGACCGACGAAACGGGCCGGTCTCGTGCCCGCCGGCCACGAGGCGAGCACACTTTCCCTCTCGTCGCCGGTCTCGGTTTTCGCGGAAACGCCCACTCCTGCCGGCTACTACGACGTCAAGTCGGACTATGTCTCCACCGACCTGATGGGACTCGGACCTGGTGTCTACATGACTTGTGGCCTGGCGAATGGAGGCGAAAAACAGCCGAACCTCAACCTCAACCCCAACCTCAACAACCTCAACAACAACAACAACAACAACA